ACGGGGATGATGCCGCGCTGGTTATCATCGACGATGTTCCAGCAGCCAGGACCCAGGACCCAGTGACCCACCTTCACGACGGGGATGATGCCTCGCTGGTTATCATCAACGATGTTCCAGGTGTTCTGGAAGTTGCGCAGGTCGTTGTAGGAGAGCAAGGCGTCCTCCTCGTTCGAGTAGAACAGCGAGAAGTTCTCCATGATGATGGCTGCACAGAACCATTAACCATCGTTTCTGCTTTAGCAAAAATAAATTCCTAATATTATATCATTATTCGTTATTCAATAACATTATTACTTATTTTACATAATTCCAATTTGAATTATATCATTATTCGTTATATTATACCATTATTCGTTATTTTAAATCATTATTCGCTATATAATATCACTATTCGTTATTTTATATCATTATTCCTTATATTATATCATTATTCGTTATTTCATATCATTACTTCTTATATTATATCATTATTCCTTATATTATATCAATCGTTATATTCTATCAGTATTCATTAAATTATATTGATGGATATTAATGCAATGCTAGCGTTAGGGGAACGTGAAGCAGCGCTACATGAACGTCGCCAATGTCAAATCACCAGCGAACTGACAGCTCCTACCAGCGTTTGTAATCAATAATAAATATCATTTTGGCGCGGAGAAGTAGGTAGGTATTGGAGCTCATGAAAACAATAAACAATCATCCTGAAAATTGAATTTACCGCCATGTGAAGAGATTCACTATAAAATTTCTTCAAAATCCGCGGATTGTGAGGCTGAATAATTTATTTGCGCACCTGTCTCGGCACGATGTAGGTGATGACGTAGAAGACATCTCACCTACAAGCAGGTTGAGCACGATGTAGGTGCTGTCTCTTATACACATCTAGATGTGTATAAGAGACAGCACCGATACCCAGGGTTACCCACCGATACCCAGGGTTACCCACCTATACCCAGGGTTACCCACCGATACCCCTGTCTCTTATACACATCTAGATGTGTATAAGAGACAGGATAACAGCAGCGTGATGGTGCTGATAACAGATAAACGTTATCAGCAGCGTGATCCCGCTGATAGTCGTGCTGAAGTTGGAGCGTCTGCACAGATAACAGCAGCGTGATGGTATTGATAACAGGTAAGCGTTATCAGCAGCGTGATGTTCCTGATAAAAGATAAGTCTTATCAGCAGCGTGATGCCGCTGATAGCCATGCTGAAGTTGGAGCGCCTGCACAGATAACTGCAGCGTGATGGTGCTGATAACAGATAAGTGTTATCAGCAGCGTGATGCCGCTGTCAGAGAGCTTGTTATCATTGGCTCGGCCATGTACGGTAATTGAACGACGCTTGCCATTAGTTACGTCTTTATACCCCAGACCTGCCGGTACCCGAGGTGACAGCCACGGTACCTGCTGATACCCAGGGTTACCTGCCGATACCCAGGGTTACCTGCCGATACCCAGGGTTACCTGCTGATACCCAAGGTTACCCAGATACCCAGGGTTACCTCAGAACCTCATGACGACTAACCTCCTCCCCTCACAGGTTCTGAGGAGGACCAGGAGGCCACGGAGATGCTGGTGGGCAACGCTCAGAACCTCATGCAGAGCGTCAAGGAGACCGTACGCGCCGCTGAGGCCGCCAGCATCAAAATACGCACAGACGCCGGCATCAGGCTACGCTGGATACGCAAGCAGCCCTGGTACCGATACTAGGTACTGGTGCTAATCCTGGTACCGGCACTAGGTCATCCTACTCGTACCATGTGTTTGGTGAGCAGAGATACCGGTGCTAGGTCATGGTTCTGGGTACCGGTATTAGGTCATGGACTAGGAGGACTATGAACACTGAAAGAGTTGTGGAGTAGAGTGGTACCTACACAGGGATAAGTACCAATTCTAGGCGCATGGTACCAATGACTGGTTGACCAGGTATCAAGGACTGGTGAAGTTTTCGTTATCGTCGATCTGCTGGCGGTCAGACTCTTAATCTTCCATCTTGAGTTGCAAGATAAAAAAAACGTCCTCAAATCCACCGGTTTTCGAAGGCAATCAAACAGAACTCAAAGTTTATCAATCCTGAACATTTTAGATCAGTTTGTCGGATTTCGACTTGGAAATGTAATTGCTGTATCGAAGTTGTCCTTGTGAAGTTAGTTCCAAGTTTGAGATCTTGGATTACAATGCCAGTGTAAACGCGGTCAAATATTTAGGCAGACAAGTCACTCAACTTGAACAGACAAGTTGGAAAGTTTACGCTCAAACCAGCCGACGCTCATGTTGATTTTTTATACTTTTTTGTATTTTGAACGAAATATTAGTTCTCTATCTTCTTATGGTCAGTTTACAGCACATATTTCTCCTTCAGTATTTATATTGCATCATTCACGAACTGAATGAATGAGGCAACGAACATGCGACTGCTAGAATGTGAAGAAAGTCATGCGTAATTTTGTGTATTTTTTAACGATCTAATTATTCAACGAACAAAATATATACGTTAATTTGTTGTTATTGTGACACTGGATTGTAATGTCCACGTTACTTTGCTGTGGATGCGTCGCTTAAAAAGTTCTGAATGCTTTAACTAAATTATTGCATAATTCTCCCATTGGTTTTAGATGGCANTTACCCCTGTCTCTTATACACATCTCAGCACATGTTCAGCACCGCTCCCCTCCCCAGCCAGCCCATCATGGTGGGGGTCTTAATTAGTTACTTAAGTAGCGGCATAACGTGGCCTCTCATTAGGCCTCTCATGTTCAGCACCGCCCCCCTCCCCAGCCAGCCCATCATGGTGGGGATTATGGAGCATACCACTTATCACATAGTTACTTAAGTAGCGGCATAACGTGGCCTCTCATTAGGCATAATTGTCGTTAATGAGTCTTACCCACTCATGACACCATCTGTGACATCCATGTGAAATGCCTGGTGAATACAACCATATATTAATATATTTAAATATCTGGTGAACGCAATGATATATTTAATATATTTTACGATAATATATAATAATTAATCTCTATTTATTAAATATATTGACCCCTACCATCAGGTGGCAGCTCATGGCCTCCATGAGGAGGTACGCCAATGGAGCAGCCGTGACAACGACATCATCGCAGCAGCTATTTAACAGTTAATCACTCTTATATATATAACAGTTAATCACTATTATTTATTTAACCCCTACCATCAGGTGGCAGCTCATGGCCTCCATGAGGAGGTGCGCCAATGGAGCAGCCGCGACAACGACATCATCGCAGCAGCTATATAACAGTTAATCACTATTACATATATAACAGTTAATCACTATTACATATATAGCAGTTAATCACTATTATTTATTTAACCCCTACATCAGGTGGCAGCTCATGGCCTCCATGAGGAGGTGCGGCAATGGAGCAGCCGTGACAACGACATCATCGCAGCAGCTAAGCGCATGGCGCTGCTCATGGCGCGCCTGTCCCAGCTGGTGCGCGGCGAGGGCGGCACTAAGAAGGACCTTATTGCGTGCGCCAAGAGCATTGCTGAGGCCTCTGAGGACGTGACAAGGCTTGCCAAGGACTTGGCTAGGGAGTGCACTGACAAGCGCATGCGTACAGTGAGTGTTATGAGGAGTGTGAGTGACAAGCGCATGCGTACAGTGAGTGTTATGGGAGTGTGAGTGACAAGCGCGTCGTGTATAAAAGAAAACAACTGCGTGGTTATGTTATCTCCGTGAATTTATACAATTTTGGAATCTTTGTGGGAGAATATTTGACGCAACCGTTTACAAATGTTATAAGTATACATGTACACATCTCATACAGCTGTGTTCTAGCGAGCTCGTATCTTCCTTATTCAGAACTGAATACTTACAAATATATGTAAAGCGAAGGAGTATTGTTAAAAAAATATGTGTAGATCTAAGTAGTAACTCATTACAAAAGTTAGCATAACTAAGTACTTACTCAGTATTTATAACAAAAGTAAGCATAACTAAGCACTAACTAAGTACTTATGACAATAGTAAGCATAACTAAGTACTTACTAAGACCTGCACGCCCCCAGAACCTGCTGCAGGTGTGTGAGCGCATCCCTACCATAGGCACGCAGCTCAAGATCTTGTCTACCGTCAAGGCCACCATGCTGGGGGCGCAAGGTGGGTACCTCCTACCATATCACATCCAGCCTCTGTCATACTATATTATTATTATTGTCTTGTCTGTGTATAGAGAACTTATTATCTTAGTAGTCTCTATTCATGTTATTGTCTTATCTGTGTCTATATATATATTATGTTATCATTATATAAAGAACTTATTATCTTAGTACTATCTATTCATCTTATTGTATCTGCACCTATATATCTTATTGTCTTATCATTATATAAACAACTTATTATCTTAGTAGTCTCTATTCATGTTATTGTATCTGTGCCTATATATATTATTGTCTTCTCATTATATAAACAATTTATTATTCTTAGTACTATCTATTCATGTTATTGTCTTATCTGTATCTATATATCTTATTGTCTTATCATTATATAAACAACTTATTATCTGAGTTGTCTCTATTCATGTTATTGTATCTGTGCCTATTTATATCTTATTCTCGTAGTCGCCTCTATTTATCTGATGACTATTCGTATTCATGATCATGTCTAAACACTCATGTTAGTCTCACTACTCACTGCTGTACATGACTCATGTTCTCATGTCCTGACAGAGCGGTTCCCGCGCCGTGACGCAGAAATGGGTAAATTCAAGCACAGTTTGCACACTTATAACGATGAGTTGATTCTCTCACAGGACTGAGTTATGACACGACTGACTTTTTGGTGTGTGCGTTCATTTAACTCACATGCATTCAATATTGACTCATGAGATGTGATCAAAATATTCAATATTTTACCGACACACGCGTGTTTTTATATAATGATATTCATATTTGTGAGTTAACCCTTTACTACCAAATGCTAGGCATGCGTCCGTCTGTTTATAATGGCAGTCTTACCTCCTGACGCACTTATATTTCTTTGTGTCATACGAACTCCCTTTCTTTGGATGACATCCACGTGCATGACGTGTCTTTACTTTCTCGTGCAATCTATCAATTAATGAACTATATGGATACGTTCATTATGCTAATGATTATGATACTGTGGATACGTTAATGAACCCTCTGAATACGTCACCTATCAAGTCCCCGGCGTTTAATTATGGTTATTTTACTCATCATTATTCATGTGTTTTCTATATTATTATTATATTTTTCTATTATTTCATTATATTTTCTATATTTTTAGCTCAGCCATTACATTCATGTAGACAATCTCATCTTTCATAACTTGATCATTTAATACGTGGTATTTTCCATAGTACGAACTCCCCTTCTCTGGATGACATTCACGTGCATGACGTGTCTTTACTTTCTCGTGCAATCTATCAATTAATGAACCCTCTGTATATGTTCATTATGCTAATGATTATTATACTCTAGACATGTTGATGAACCCTCAGGATACGTTAATGAACCCTCTTAATACGCTAATGATACGTCTCTGAATACGTTAATGAACCCTCTGGATACGTCACCTATATATCAAGTCCCCGGCGTTTAATTATGGTTATTTTACTCAACATCATTTATGTGTTTTCTGTATTATTATTATATTTTTCTATTATTTCATTATATTTTCTATATTTTTAGCTCAGCCATTACATTCATGTAGACAATCTCATCTTTCATAACTTGATCATTTAATACGTCGTATTTTCCATAGCATTTATACAACCCATTTTATTCTCTATATATCCTAGCTGACTTTATCCTGTTTGTCCTGTTTTATCCACCATGATTGTGGAGCAGCATGGCTGATCGGTGGCAGTAAGTACTATTTTGTCCCTTACTGCCAGGCACGTGTGCTAGCAATGCTATTCCTACCTAATTTTAATTTGGGTAGTAAAGATTCGACTTCGCCACTAATTTCTCTGAAGAGCACTCTAGCTTTAATTTCATATTTTACTTTCGTTTTTGTAACTGCACTTTAACTAGTGCCGGTAGTGACACTGAGGTGTCATACGGAACCATGCTGTGCCATTAATGACAAGCTAGCGGCAGTCTGTCAGATTTACTGTAACAAAATTTAGATGCAAGTACGGATCGGCATTAGGTTCCGCCCAGGACTCGGGGAGCTCGTAAATCAGCCGCTCATGTCCGCTTTGGCACAGGGTGTGGAGGGCAGCCTCTGGGCAGCTTGCAAGCTCAGTATGACTCGGCTCGGCCAACTCTTATCATACTCTCAGGACACACTTGTCATACTCTCAGGACACACTTGTCATACTCTCAGGACACTCTTGTCATACTCTCAGGACACACTTGTCATACTCTAAGGCTAGACTTGTCATACTCTCACGCTACTATTCACTCCGAAACGATATTCTGACCATAAGCTTATTTCGATCGGGTGGCCAAGTAGACCCAGAAAAACTATAAGTCGAGTGTATGGCGACTCTGGGGCAGAAGCCTAGGCGGTACCTAAATTTTGTTAGGGTTGCGCCTTTATCCAACGCTTAGAATATCAGAAGTAATGATTTTTTGTTCATTTATATGGCTGCTAAACTCTGCCCTCTGGACTGCTAAACTTTGGCTGCAGCTAAAGTTAGCAGCAGCAGCTGCTGCTATATAATATAGCAGCAGCATTTATATAGCTGCTAAACTCTGCCCTCTAAGCTCTGCTAAACTCTAGATGCTGATAAGGAATTCCAAAATTGTAACGTATTTTTCAATTGAAGCTTATGATTTGCAATACAAATAAAATCTTATCAGTTAAAAGCAAGAGCCTGATCCTATGTTGCTACGTCGCACCGCGTCTACCGTAGCTCCGCTTCTCTATAATTAGTTATGTCTACACCTTGCATAGATATGTTCACAACTAGCCTAGTTGTTTCTGGCTCAATCATGCTCATGTCTCGCTCTGTTATAACTATGCCCAGCATAATTTCATCTATAACGAGCCTATCTATCTTTGGCTGCTCATGTCCCACTGTTATGACTATGCCCATATAAATTATGTCTATGCATGCCCCAGTTAAGTATGTTTCATTCTCCGTTATGCCTATGTCTTTCCCAGTTCTGTATACTGCGAGTCTGGTTATGTCCAGCTTAGTTCTGTCTTTGTTTTACGTTAGATATTCCATCATTTAAATAAATTTTTTAAAGCGGGATATTATACCTTGCATGATATAGCACTGCAATGAACTCCTATTTTTTCTACTCAGTATAACTTAATTCTTCCTATCCCGTAATACTCACCTTTTCCTACTGTAATACTTATCCTTTCTTACTCTGAAATACTTGCTTTTTCTTACGTGGCCACGGAGATGCTGGTGGGCAACGCTCAGAACCTCATGACGACTAACCTCCTCCCCTGCTGCTAAACTCTGCCCTCTAAGCTCTGCTAAACTCTAGATGCTGATAAGGAATTCTAAAATGTTAATGTGTTTTTCAATAGACGTTTATGATTTGCAATACAAATAAAATCTTATCAGTTCAAAGCAAGAGCCTGATCCTATGTTGCTTCGTCGCACCGCGTCTACCGTAGCGCCGCTTCTCTAAAATTAGTTATGGCTTTACCCTGCATTAGTTATGTTCATAACTAGCCTAGTTATTTCTGCCTCAGACATGCAATTTCATCTATAATGAGCCTAGCTATCATTGGCTGCTTATGTTCCACTCTGTTGTGACTATGCCCAGATCAATTATGTCTATGCATACCCCAGTTAAGTATGTTTTCTGCTCCGTTATGCCTATGTTCTGTCTACTTCAAGTCTGGTTATGTCCAGCTTAGTTATGTCTTTATTTTACGTTAGATATTCCATCGTTTATATTAATATTTTAAAATCGGGTTATTTTCTCGCATGATATAGCAGTGCCATGAACTCCTAACTTTATCTACTCAGTATAACTTGATTCTTATTATTCCTTAATACTCACTGTTTCCCATTGTAATACTTATCCCTTCTTACTCTGAAATACTTGCTTTTTCTTACGTGGCCACGGAGATGCTGGTGGGCAACGCTCAGAACCTCATGACGACTAACCTCCTCCCCTCACTGCCGTGTTTGTAGTAACGCTTGTTGTTGCCGTCGCAAGCCTCCATGGAGCGCCTTATGGGGCACGAGGGTGAGTCAGGCGCCTGGCCTGGAGCTGCATATACTCACCTCCACTCAGCTTTACTCACCACTGAGCTATAATCACTACTGAGCTTTATTCACCACTGAGCTTGATTCACCTGCACTCATTACCATTAAACGTCTTCACCATCATATTGCTGTATTTTTTTAAGTGTTTACATATTCATCTGGCTTTTTGATTATATTCACCTTACTTGGCCTTATTAGTCTATCATTTTATTATATAGTACAAATTTACATAATTTTATTTGTATTTTTTCAGATTTTGTTACCTAATTTCGGCCTAATTCACCTAAATGTCCGCCTCGACCGTCCTATTCAGCCGTGTCCCAGAGTGTCCCTCACTATCCTCCAGAGTATGCCTCACTATCCTCTAGAGTATCCTTCACTATCCTCCAGAGTATCCCTCACTATCCTCCAGAGCATCCCTCACTATCCTCCAGAGTATCCCTCACTATCCTCCAGAGTATCCCTCACTATC